TTTGGAGAACTACATTTTTCAGTTGACCTTTTATTTAGAATATAGTCTTTCAGAATCCCAAATGGAAATCTGGCCTTTATTAGGATCCCCTTCAGCTGAACTTAAACTCCAGTGTTTGTTTTTTTTTACCCTGTGGTCAGCCACAAGCTCTTCTCAGATTCTCTCTGCTCAGCATCCCAGCCACTGCTTCCACATTGGCAGCTACATTTGAGAAAAGTGCTTAGATTTGTTGACACAGGCAACTTCTCTAAATGTTAACACCTTCTTCCTTTTATATGTCACCACTGTTTAAGTTGCTTCAGTCATGTCCGACTCTTTGCAACCCCATGGTTGCCCTGCCAGGCTACTCTGTCCATGGGATTCTCCAGGCAAGAATGCTGGAGTGGGTAGCCATTTCTTTCTCTGGGAGATCGGTCTTCCAAACAGGGTGGTGGGATTGTCTTGGAGGCATCAGTCTCAGCACTGGACGTATGTAAAAACTGATGACTATCTCTATGTAGTCTTGGTAATATGTGTACCTGCTTGCCACTAAAAAATTAAGTATATTATTTTTGTTCTTTTGATAACAGTATGTAGCTATATTTAAAGTACCTTGGATATATCTGGGGTTTAGTTTCAGACCACTGCAATAAAATGAATATCACAGTAAAATGAGTAACACAAATTTTTTGGTATCCCAGTGCATATATAAGTTATGTTTAAACTGTAGTCTATTAAGTGTGCAATAACCTTAAATCTAAAGATGATGTACATACCTTAATTAAGAAATATGGTATTATATATCAACTATGTGTGTGTATTAAGTTGCCTCAGTTGTATCCGATTCTTTGCAACCCCATGGACTGTAGCCCACCAGGCTTCTCTGTCCGTGGAATTCTCCAGATAAGTGTACTGAAATGGGTTGCCATGCCCTCCTCCAGGAGATCTTTCTGACCCAGGGATCGAACATGCATTTCCTGCATTTCAGGCAGATTCTTTACCACTGAGCCACCAGGGAAGCCCGTATCAACTATAGTTCAATTTTCAAAAAGAAGAAGAAATTGCTAAAATATGTTAGCCATCATCTGAACCTTCAGTGAGTCATAACCTTTTTTGCAATAGTAATGTCAAAGATTACTGATCACAAATCAGCATAACAAAGGTAACAATAATGAAAAATTTTGAAATATTGTGAGAATTACCAAAATGTGAGACAGAGAGACACAGAGTGAACAAATCTGTTGGGAAAAAGGCACCAGTAGACTTTCTCAATACAGAGTTGCCATAAATCTTCAATGAAAAAAAAAAATCATTATCTGTAAAGCACAGTAAATTGAACCACAATAAGACAAGGTATACCTGTATATGCACTTTCCTGTTTCCCCATGATTTTCCTTTTTGACATGACAGACCCTATAGCATTGCAGGACATAGGATATCCTTTTGAACCAGTATGGAAGTTTTGTTTCAGTTTAATTCAATAGATATTTATTGTCTATTGGAACAAGGCAGACACCTCAATGAAGAGAATTAAAACACAGCTGCTGACCTATAGATGCATGAGGTCTAGGAAGGGGATAAGATACGTGTGCAATTCTACCATAAGATGGAATGTGATAGTCACAGGAAGATGCTAATGACGTCGTGGAGGGAGAGGATCTGTCCAGTTGAGGAAGTCAGGAAAAGTGACAGTCCATCTGGCTCTTGATAGTTGTCTAGGATCTGTTCATCTGCGTGGAAGTGGGAGCCATACTGTGCGATGTAGATGGGGGAGCAAAGGTGGGAGCAAATTAAACATAAGGTTTCTGTGCGCTGTCAGATCAGATGGAATTAAGGTAAATATATTGGTTCCATGTTAAAAGGGGTCTTAACACTGGGATAAATAGCTTGAAATTAATTTAGAAAAGGGTGATGAGCCTCAAAGATGTTATATGTGAAAGTGACAAGACCTACCATATGCTTCGGGAGGCTGTGCTTGCAGTTTTGTATTGGATAATTCTAGCAAGGGAGACAGTTAAATGTGGTAATTTAGCAGCCTTTTAAAAAATTAGTTTATTTGGCTGTCTTGGGTCTTAGTTATGACATAAAGGATCTCGATCTTTGTTGTGGCATGCAGGATCTTTAGTTGTGGCAGGCCAACTGTTAGTTGTGGCTTGTGGGATCTAATTCTCTGAGCAGGGATCGAACCCAGGCCCCCTGTATTGGGAGAGGGGAGTCTTAGTCATTGGACAACCAGGGAAGTCTCTGAGCAACCTTTTGTCATTGTTTTATATTTGCCTCTCTTTAGGTGGACTCATGACAATTATTAGTTTTCTTGGGGAGAAAAATGCTCTGCATTTTCAATAATGACTGCATGTATCCACTAATATATTTATTGACTATTTGCCATCTTACAATGTAGCAGCCTTACAGCAAGATGCCAAGTGCAGCTCCTGCTTTCCAGGTCTATTTGAGGGAAGGTTTTGATAAGTTTCCCTTGTGGCTCAGCTGGTAAAAAAATCCACCTGTAATGCGGGAGACCTGGGTTCAATCCCTAGGTTGGGAAGATCCCCTGGAGAAGGGAAAGGCTACCCACCCCAGTATTCTGGGCTGGAGAATTCTGTGGACTGTATTGTCCGTGGGGTCGCAAAGAGGTGGACACGGCTGAGCGACTTTCACTTTAAGGCTTCACAGAAAAGGCAGTTCTTCAGCTTCATCTTGGAGAACAAAGAGAAGGAGTTGAAAGTGGAGGAGTAACATGTGAGGTGGCTACCTGGTGTGGCCAAGAGGCAGGTGACAACGTGATGTGGGTACCCAGCTCCAGGCTGTTCACAGGATTGAAGTGTTGGGTGTTAGGCCAACTCGGGGGTTGAGGCAGGAGAGGCAGAACCAGACTATAGAGGGAGCTTGAGTCTAACTCGAAGGCAATGGAAATCTACTGAATTATTTTAAACAGGCACAGGAGCCTGTTTAAACACAAATAATCATTCAATAATGACTGCATGTATCCACTAATATATTTATTGACTATTTGCCATCTTACAATGTAGCAGCCTTACAGCAAGATGCCAAGTGCAGCTCCTGCTTTCCAGGTCTATTTGAGGGAAGGTTTTGATAAGTTTCCCTTGTGGCTCAGCTGGTAAAAAAATCCACCTGTAATGCGGGAGACCTGGGTTCAATCCCTAGGTTGGGAAGATCCCCTGGAGAAGGGAAAGGCTACCCACCCCAGTATTCTGGGCTGGAGAATTCTGTGGACTGTATTGTCCGTGGGGTCGCAAAGAGGTGGACACGGCTGAGCGACTTTCACTTTAAGGCTTCACAGAAAAGGCAGTTCTTCAGCTTCATCTTGGAGAACAAAGAGAAGGAGTTGAAAGTGGAGGAGTAACATGTGAGGTGGCTACCTGGTGTGGCCAAGAGGCAGGTGACAACGTGATGTGGGTACCCAGCTCCAGGCTGTTCACAGGATTGAAGTGTTGGGTGTTAGGCCAACTCGGGGGTTGAGGCAGGAGAGGCAGAACCAGACTATAGAGGGAGCTTGAGTCTAACTCGAAGGCAATGGAAATCTACTGAATGATTTTAAACAGGCACAGGAGCCTGTTTAAACACAAATAATCAGATTTGTGTTTCAGATTGGAGATCATTGGAGGGAAGAGATGTGGGAGGTTGTTCCCATGGTCCCAGTAAGGCCTACACAAGACTATAGAATTAAAGAGCAGAGAGAGAGAATGAAAAGATACATAGAGTTGAGTGATTTAACTGTATACTGAGTGAGATATGAACTCATTTTATTATCTATTAATGGCTCTTGCCTTGTTGACAGGGTTGGTAGGTGGAGGAAGTACTCCAAAGGCAGCTGGGAGAAGGAGGCAGTGGGAAGACCCCAGGTGTCAATTTCATCAATTCCCCTAAGAATGCCTGGCTTGTAAATATGTATACCTGTCTTTTTTTTTTTTTATAATGCTGTTATCCCAGGAATAGTGAGCCTAGGTATCTGATGTTTTAGATACAGGAAAATAGTTTTGTGTTTATTGTAATACAATAAATAAATACTGTTCTGCCAGCATCTGGTAGGCACATTTAACACTTCCTTAGTTGGGTGAGTGCTGTAGGGTCTTGACTGTCTCATTGGCTTTAAGGCCCTACCCATCAGAAGCAACCACACTTATCTTGATCTTTACCCTTTGGCGTCTATTCAAAGGTTGGATGCCTTGGGGGAAATGAGGACTGGAATGCTGGGGTGTCAGTATGAGGTGTGGCTTTTGTTGTTGGCCATGGACACATTCTTGTGAGATAATGGGAAGGGTATGAAGGATTTTTTGAGTCTACTGCGTCAAGTCATTTTCCTTGACACTTCTGAAATGCTGATGTATCTATATATGGTACCAATGCTGACCTGAGGGAGACTCCCTATGGTAGCATACCCTATTTTCTACTGCTAATAGAACCTTTGGGATGGGGTGGAGGTCCTCAGAGTGACGACTATGGTGATATAGCTTATGGTGATATTTGCCAGCATGCTCAACATGACACAGGCTTCCTCAGTGTCTCAGGGGTTAAATAATCTACCTGCAGTGCAGGAGACGCAGGAGATGTGGGTTTGATCCCTGATTCAGGAAGATTCCCTGGAGAATGAAATGGCAACCCACTCCAGTATTCTTGCCTGAAAACTCCCATGGACAGAGGAGCCTGGCGGGTTACAATTCAAAGGGTAGCAAAGAGTTGGACATGACTGAGTGACTAAACAACAATATACACTCAACATGACAAATCTAACTGGTGGGGAAGTCTAAGCTTTTTGTGTTTCCAGTAAGCAAACATGATTAAGGTTTTGGAATTGGAAATTGTACTGAATTAACATGTTTTGGGGAGCAGAATTCATTGCTTGCAGAAGACTCCTTTTGCCAATTAATTATACAATTTAGTGATTTTCAAAAAACTTTTCTAACATTGTTTCCTTTGACTAATATTTTAATATAGATAAAATAGCAAGATGCCTTCTTTGCAACATCATTTATCTTTTTCCAATCTCATTTCCTTTTCAGATATTATCAGATGCGACACAGCCTCTTGAAAGTCAGAATTTTTCTCCGGTGGTGCGAGATGTAAGTTATGAAAAGTATTTCTTTTCATGAATGTATCTTTTTCCACCACTTTTCTTGATCCCTTTTCCTCTTTCCTTCCCTGTCTTTCTCCATCTCTGTCACTCTCTCTTTTCTCTGTTATTCATGAGCCCAAGATTATGGGACTAAATGTGTTGACTAAAGAATTGTCTTATATCATATATATTCAGGCAGTGATTGCATCTAACGGCATGTTGTCTAACAAGTATAAATATATCCAGAAACTCCGAGAGAACAGGTAAGCATCATTCACAACCTCTTGTTTAATACGTTTATTCTTGGACCTCAAGAGTATTTTTTAAATGCTTCCGTATGAGTTCTTGATGTTAGGATTATGCAATATATTTTTTTTTTAATGTCTATAAGTACTAGGAATTTCAAATGAAGTGACTGGCTGAAACCAATGTGAATTATTTTCCTTTGAATAGTACTGTAGCATCATTTTGGCTTTCTAATATCCATGTAGACTTGTGTGTAAGTAAGCAAAACTTCAAAAGCTCTGTCCTTGTTCTTTCTCTAGCATTTTGCATATTGTAATGTCTCAGCTATTCTCTCAAAGGAAAATGAGCAAGCTAACCCTTTCCTTAGCACTTTCAGATTGATTTCTAGTTGAGGATTTGGATTCTCTTTTGCTTAGGATAATATTCAGCAAAGTGGGCTCTTGGTTAGCAATTAAGAAAAGTACTGAAAAAAGAAAATGGTGAGAGGTCAGTTTTTCCTGGGATTCTTATTAGGAGGAAAGTGTCAAAAAGTAATGAGACAAATCCACTGGCTAGAACAGTTCTCTTAGGAAGATACTTAGCTAAGGCCTTGGTTTCCATAGTTGGCTTTACTACTCAAAATTTGGAAACATAAACATCGACATTGGAATGTTCTGGTCTCCAACTGGTTGTACTTGATCTGTGTTTATACCTGCTCTATTGGTCTATTCACATTTAACAAAATGACCTATGCACTGAATTCTTAGGTGAAGCCAGAGTGGAAAAATAAGAAACAAACTGCCTGATCTCTCTGTTATTCCACCTATAAGAAGTAAATAAGAGATCAAGTACTATTGTTATGCCTTTTCCATGTGTGTTTGTTAGCTTATACTTACTTTTGTGTGTTAGTGAAATATTCTGGCATGATACCAGGGATATATAATTTTTTTTTTTTAATAAAAAAGCAACTAGTTTATAGAACTCCATAGGTGAGTGTCTTATAGGAGAAACTTCATATATTTGTTTTTCACAGTTTTGTTTATCTTTGGATTTTCATTCTGATGATCTTTTCTTACATGACTAATCTCAATGACATGTCTAACATGACTAGTCACTCTTTATACACCGTATTCCATATAGCAGCCGGTCTGACTGCTAGGGCTTCCTGCCTTCCTTCCTAGGTAGAATCTTGTGCCAAGAGATTGAAAATGAAGATTTTATTTTGGAAGAAAATTAAAGTTTCCTTGAATCCTTGCCTTACTGTTTTGTTCTCTTTAGTCCTTGTTCTGGGCTTAGTCGCTCAGTTGTTTCTGACTCTTTGCAACCCCATGGACTGTACCTTGCCAGGCTCCTCCGTTCATGGGGATTCTCCAGGCAAGAATACTGGAATGGGTTGCCATGCCCTCCTCCAGGGGGTCTTCCCGACCTAGGTCTCCCACATTGCAGGCAATTCTTTTACCGTCTGAGCCACCAGGGAAGCCTCTTTATTTAGCACAGTAATTATTAACCAGGAGTGTGGGGTTGCTGATGGGACAGATAGTATTAATATCTAGAAGTAAGTTTTTAAAAATGTGTTTTGAACATTTTCTTTTTAGAGATCAAAATAATCCAAACTACAGAAGGTGTTATTAGAAAGGATCTATAATAGCCAATAATAGTGCTTTCTTCTGGGAAGTGAAATGGGATAGAGGTGGAAGTTAAATGAAAGCCCCCATCATCAGTGATAGGAGTATTAGGGGTAAAGAGGGGTGGAAGCATTTTATATTTACATTTATTTTTATGTACTTATACTTAATGAAATTAAGTGAAATTAAATTAAGGTTAAAGCTTGAGAGACATCCTAGCCTAAAAGATTCCAGCAACAGAGCCTTCTGCTTAAGTCTCTGGCACCAAACCATTTCCATGGTTTTTTATTGATATCTGGGAATTTGATTGAGAAGACTTTTAATGAGTATCTTTAAGACAGAACGCAGTGAGCAATAGTGGGCTTATAAAGATGGAGAAGACTAAATCACTATCTTGGAGGTCAGAGTTTGTAGGAAAGACAAATCATTAACTGTCAGGCAAGTACAAATTCCAACAACAGAGAAATTCAAGAATTAGAGTTCTGCCTAGTGACTCATCTTAGGTTTCTACATTTAACCCATAGCATTTGTGATTTCAAGATTATGGTTTTAGAAAGAGACTCACAGACTTAGGAAAAGAACTTACAGTTTCCCAAAGGGAAAGGATAGTTAGGGAATTTGGGAAGGTCATGTACACATTGATATATTCAAAATGGATAACCAACAAGGACCTATTGTTAAGTACATGGAACTCTGCTCAATGTTATGTGCCAGCCTGGATGGGAGAAAAATTTGGGGGAGAAGGATACATGTATACCTATAGTTGAGTTTCTTCATTGTTCACCTGAAACTATCACAACATTGTTAATTGTCTATACCCCAATACAAAATAAAAAGTTTAGAGTTTGGAAAAAAAAAAAGAGAAACAAAATCATGGTTTTCACTGGTTTCAAGTGACCCAAAAGATAAATCACAAGACTGTGACTAATATGGATAATAACCTCCTGCTCAGATTGTAGTATCCTCAGATTGTTGTGAGCAGTAAATAGGTTTCTGATAAAAGGCCCCTAGCATGATTTTGAATCAATGTCCTCCCCTGGAAGGATAAAGTATGAGACCAAATGACTCAGCTGTGAACATCCAGGCATTGGTCCAGCGCCTGTACCTCATTGGTGGTACTGGGAATTCATACACATCAAAGATGTCTGGATCTATAGTTCATTATATGGGATATAAAATAACTAATGTAAAATGTTGGTATTGGGAACTCCTGGTGAGATTCTTATTGTAAGAAATGTGGGGGGAAAATGATTGCTTCACAGTCTAAGTTTTAGTTTGGTTTGGGGACAGCGACATTTTATTTAAAAGTTTTTTTGTTAATATTTTCTCCCCGCCTTTTATTTATAGGGAACGTGCTCAGGCACTTTCAATGGGCACCAAGAAAAAGGTCTTGGTTCTTGGATCTGGTTACGTATCTGAGCCTGTATTGGAATACCTGTCGAGAGATGACAGTATTGAAATAACAGTAGGTAAATAAGCCCCGATTTTTAAAGAAGAAGTAAAACTGATTTCAAAACATCGTTACTCTGTGAATTTTAAATTACCGTCTTGTTTCTAAACTTCAAAAAATTATTTTTGGAGATGTTAAAGTGTGTTTTACTCTCTGATTAATGATGGGAAATCTAAAGCATGGACTTTTAAATTCTTGAAACAGGTTCTGACATGAAGAATCAAATTGAACAATTAGGCAAGAAGTATAATATTAATCCTGTTAGCTTGCACGTTGGCAAACAAGAAGAGAAGGTGAGCTCCTTGGTGGCAACGCAGGATCTTGTCGTCAGGTTAGTATGTAGCAAGAAATGATTGAAATGTGTTTCGTTGTTATTTCTTAGTTTCTCTCCTCTTCTGTCTTCTCCTTTCCTCCTCTCTCCTCTCCTTTTCTCTTCGCTCAGTAAACTTTTAAATTGGAGTGTGCATCTGGGAAAGTGCATAAATCAGAGCTAGGTAGTTGAGTGAATTTTCACAAGGTGAACACAGCATGTAACCATCACTCACATCAGAAACAGAATATAATAGCAGCCAAGAAGCTCTCCTTGGGCCTCTATTTATTACTAGTCCCATCCTTCAAGGGTAAGCACTGTTCTGGCTTCTAACACAGAGATTCATTTCTGCTAGTTTTCATTCTGTACAATCAAAATCTTTCAATGTGTCCCCATTTGTGGCTGCCTTCTTTCATTCAGTATTGACAGTTCTTTGTGGTATTGTCTGTAACTGTAGTTTATTCTCTTTGCTGTGTAATGTTCCATTGTGTGACTATACTATTATTATCCATTTGACTAGTGATGGATGTTTAAGTTGTTCCCAGCATTTGGCTATTATGAATTGTGCTGCTATGAACAAATTAGTCCTTGTCTTTTGGTTACCATATATATGCATTTCTGTTGGATGTTTACCTAGAAGTAGAATTGCTGGGTCATGAGGCACTCATGACTCGTATTCTGATGGCTATTTTAACCTTTGGACTTATAAAGCTTAAATGAGAGTGAGTAAATTCTTTAGCCCTATGACCATTTTTAGCCTTAAAGGAGAAACAGACCTTGAAATATATCATTTATTACTATCTAATACAAATGCATGGGAAATAGATGGGGAAACAGCAGAAACAGCATCAGACTTTATTTTTTGGGCTCCAAAAATCACTGCAGATGGTGATTGCAGCCATGAAATTAAAAGACGCTTACTCCTTGGAAGGAAAGCTATAACCAACCTGGATAGCATATTAAAAAGCAGAGACATTACTTTGCCAACAAAGGTCTTTCTAGTCAAGCTATGGTTTTTCCAGTGGTCATGTGTGGATGTGAGAGTTGTTCTGTGAAGAAAGCTGAGTGCTGAAAAATTGATGCTTTTGAACTATGATGTTGAAGAAGACTCTTGAGAGTCCCTTGGACTGCAAGAAGATCCAACCGGTTCATCCTAGAGATCAGTCCTGGGTGTTCGTTGGAAGGATTGATGCTGAAGCTGAAACTCCAGTACTTTGGCCACCTCATGTAAAGAGTTGACTCATTTGAAAAGACCCTGATGCTGAGAGGGATTGGGGGCAGGAGGAGAAGGGGACAACAGAGGATGAGATGGCTGGATGGCCTCACCGACTTGATGGACATGAGTTTGAGTAAACTCCGGGAGTTTGTGATGGACAGGGAGGCCTGGCGTGCTGCGGTTCATGGGGTCACAAAGAGTCAGACACGAATGAGCAACTGAACTGAACTGATTACAAATGCAGATCTAACTTCTAGATATAGGGCTACGTGATACTAGATACTTCATTTTGAAATTACCAAAGTGATGAGAATAAACTGTTTATTCCTAGAATATATTTTTTTCCTAGAAGACAGAAGGAACTTAAGTTGCTCTTTCATAATTATATCACTTTCATAGTTTCAACTCAAATGATATCTTTGGGAGAAGTTCTATGATGTCCTCCTTAAAAAAGATAGTGGTGCTTGGAAAACAGACACAATTGAAGGTAATTCTAAGTGGAACTTTCACATTATCTCTTCATATAGGATCACTTTGAACACTCAAAAACATGATTCAATTTATAAAAATTTAATGTGCATTAGTTATTTTTCAATAAAAATTTATTAATAATCAATAGACCTTTTCTGTCAGGATATGATTATGAAAGCGAGCCCTTATTCAAAATGGAATATTGTAGCCTACTGATAAAACAAAGAGAATTTGTTTTGCCACACATAGGTACCTAAATATAAAATTGTTGTTTGATTAAAAAAAGAAAACAACATAATAAAACACATTTTGAACAAAATTGGAAGCAAAATATGACAAAATTATGGACACAGACAATAAACTAATAATAGGTATAAAGTTTAAAATTCACTGAACTTGTGACCTTTAATAAGATTTAACATTAGCAAAATCTGTTATATATTTAATTTTTCTTAGTTGATTGAGTTTCTATGCTCAATAGTGGAAATGCTGTTAAACATTGTTATCCTGTAGTGTTTCTTAAATAACTTTTTATTTTTTAATTTGGAGAAAGAATGTTTTGATATAAACACAATGTTAGGGGCTATCAAAGTAAAATGAATGGAGAATGTTTCACAAGATTTTGTAATAATATGTCAAATTCTCATGGTCTTATTTTGCAATTTAGTTTTTAATGAGCTGATACAAAGCCATAATTGAGTTTATTATTTTGAGAATTAGATTTATATTTTGTCTATGTTTGCACAAGTGACATTCCCAACTATTTGGATTGAGTTATGTGCTGGTGAATAGATGCTCTCTTACATACACAATGAATTATGAGTTCTAATCCCTTTGTCTAATATAGGCACCACCAGTCAAAGTCCTATCATTCTAGTTCTCAGCATATTTTTAGATTAGTGCTGATAATGCCAAAATTTAAAAAATATTATTAGATCTTGATAAAATTTTGATCAGGCAAGTTTTCATTGTGAAAAATGTGACCAAAAAAATCTTCACTTAACCTTTAAGATGATGCCATGGAACATTTTCTGTTAATACTTTTCCAACAAAGAGTTTTGCAGATATTTGGTACACTGGCTTTTGAAGGGCTACTATATTCAGTAACAATTATTTTTGATTAAAAAAGCTGAAATACAGAGATAAAGAGTTTTCATATTGTCATTGGCAAGATACGTACATAATTCTGTTCTGCATGGTAATAAATCTAAGTAACAGTTCTCTGTTCTGTTAACCTGAGGAGAGATGAGTGCCTGAGAGGTGATTTTATTGTTTGGTTTTATGTGAAATAGAGAAAATCTGAAGTAAACAGGATGAACGTAACAAGTACAGTGATAACACTATAATAATGTTTATCAGTTTATTTTTATATTTTCATTATACTGCATAGATAGCTTTACCAAACAGGTAATAAGCTAGTAGAACTTTTTGTTATGTGGCTGATAGGATGCTTATTAGTCCTTGGATAGAATATGAATATACTAATATATATCAATATCTGTGGAAATTCATTTTTTTGTGATTGTGTAGTCCCAGCACCAACGTAAAACATCCAAGCGAGATGCTTAGAAAATTTACAGTTGAGTTTTGAGTACAGTTTCAGTTTTTGTTCACCATACAGACTTTTAGGCCTTCTTAGGTAAGAACCCACCTGCCAATGCAGGAGACATAAGAGATATGGGTTTGATCCCTGGGTGGGGAAGATCCCCTGGAGGAGGGCATGGCACCCCACTCCAGCATTCTTTTTTTAAAAAAATTTCTGTATGTTTTAAATTGAAGGATAATTGCTTTACAGAATTTTGTTAATTTCTGCCAAACATCATTCTCCAGCATTCTTGCCTGGAGAATTCCATGGACAGAGGAGCCTGGTGGGCTACAGTCCATAGCGTTGCAAGGAGTCTGACCCGACTGAAGCAATGTAGCATGCATGCATAAACTTTTAGCTGTTTCAATAGCTTTTACAACAATCGATACCATTAAAACTCATTTCCCCCTCTGGCCTTGCCTAGGCTCTCCTTTTTAATGTAATGTATGGATCACCTTGACTTAGTTTAGCGACAGCCGTTTTGGAAGGCTTGGAGGTAAAAAGAATAGCAACCTTTTCTTTTACTAGGGAACTCAAGACAGAAAATCATAGAAATATAAGGATAAGTAAAGTAAATTTCATTCAATGTTATAAAAGGATAACTGAGTACATACAGAGGAAGATCTGGATTTGGGAAAATCTGGGAAAGGTTCCTGGAGGATGTACCTTTTCAGACTTTTCTTTAAGGAAGGTGTGACCTGGATGGGGGTGGGCAGGTGAGGGACAATTTTAAGAGGAAGATATAGTGAAAGTAAAGGCTCGGAAATGGAAAAGTAAAGGCTGTGAATGGAGAATTATAATAGCTTCTATAGTTTATGAAGGAGATACTGGGAGGAAAAATGGAAAGGTGAACTGAAGATCATATTGTGGAGAGTTTTAAATATGATAACAGGATGAATTTATTCTATAATATTCAAGGAGTAATTGATCATCTCTGAGAGAATTATCAGTGTGATGTCTTCACTTTAGTGCAGTTCAAGGTGCATTGGAAGGAGAGTTGAAAAAGTTTCTGATGAGTTTCTCCCTGTTTTTAAGCTTGCTACCTTATGTATTGCATCCTCTTGTGGCCAAGGCTATAAATTTCATTCAATGTTATAAAAGGATAACTGAGTACATACAGAGGAAGATCTGGATTTGGGAAAATCTGGGAAAGGTTCCTGGAGGATGTACCTTTTCAGACTTTTCTTTAAGGAAGGTGTGACCTGGATGGGGGTGGGCAGGGGAGGGACAATTTTAAGAGGAAGATATAGTGAAAGTAAAGGCTCGGAAATGGAAAAGTAAAGGCTGTGAATGGAGAATTATAATAGCTTCTATAGTTTATGAAGGAGATACTGGGAGGAAAAATGGAAAGGTGAACTGAAGATCATATTGTGGAGAGTTTTAAATATGATAACAGGATGAATTTATTCTATAATATTCAAGGAGTAATTGATCATCTCTGAGAGAATTATCAGTGTGATGTCTTCACTTTAGTGCAGTTCAAGGTGCATTGGAAGGAGAGTTGAAAAAGTTTCTGATGAGTTTCTCCCTGTTTTTAAGCTTGCTACCTTATGTATTGCATCCTCTTGTGGCCAAGGCGTGCATCGCAAGCAAAGTTAACATGATCACTGCAAGCTACATCACCCCAGCGCTAAAAGAATTAGAAAAGAGGTAAGTTTCAGTCAGTTTTAAGCAAAGCATCTCCATGGAAGTTTTAAAATTTTCTATCCAAAGTTTCCTTCTTTCTACTTCTACCTCTTTTAGTGTGGAAGATGCTGGCATCACAGTCATTGGTGAATTGGGATTGGACCCTGGTCTTGATCATATGTTGGCAATGGAAACAATAGATAAGGCCAAAGAAGTGGGAGCCACGGTGAGCCCAACTGACACCCAAAGGTTCATTTAGGAAATTATTAAGAGGTCTAGGTTTTTGTGTATGGAAATAATCTTTCTACAATTTTGATTAAAGAAACTGCTATTTTTTTAAAGGTTATAGTCCATTTATAGTTATTATAAAATGTTGGCTATATTCCCTGTATTGTACAATATTTCCTTATAGCTTATTTTATTTTAATTATTTTTTTTTCAGGCACTTTCAAGATCATAGTTTATTTATTACTTCAGATAAAAAGATAGCAAACATATTAGGAATCCCTTAAAACTCAACTTTAGTGTTATACACCATCTAGTACTTTTGCACTGAATGTTAACCAAAAAATCTCTAAGCCCCTGAAAGCCCCACTAGTAACATGAACTATGGTAATAAAAAGTCTGACATTATTTTGTTCAATATATAGTATTTACATTATGAAACCAATAGTGATCCAATAAACAGTGATATGTATTATTTATACATAATAGTTTGTATCTTGTAATACCTTGCCCCTCTATTGCACATCCCCGCTTCCCTTTCCCCACTGGTAACCACTAGTTAGTTTTCTTTATCTGTGACTGCTTCTTTTTTGTTATATTTGCTAGTTTTTTTAGATTCCACAGATAAGTGATATCATGCAATCTTTCTCTGTCTGCTTATTTCACTTAGGATAATACCCTACAAGTCCATCCATGTTGTTGCAAATGGCAAGATTTAGTTATTTTTATGGCTGAGTAGTATTCCACTGTATACTTATACCCCATCTTCTTTATCCATTCATCTGTTGATGGACACTTAGGTGCTTCCATATCTTGGCAACTATAAATAATGCTGTGATGAACATTGGGGTGCATGCATCTTTTAAAATTAGTTCTTTTTTCATATATATGCCCAGCAGTGATATATATGGTATATAATATGGTAATTCTATTTTTAGCTTTTTGAGAAACATCCATGCTGTTTTCCATAGCAGCTGTACCAATATACTTTCCCACCAATAGTGTATACAGTTCCCTTTTCTTCACATCCTCTCCAACATTTGTTGTTTGTGTTCTTCTTGATGATAGTTACTCTGACATGTGTGAGGTGATATTTCTCATTGTGATTTAATTTGCATTTCCCTGATGATTAGCAGTGTTGACCATCTTTCCATGTGCCTGTTGGCCGTCTGCATTTTCTCTTTGGAAAAATGCCTGTTCAGGCCTTCTGCCCATTTTCAAATCAGGTTGTTTGTTTTTTTGATGTTGGGTTGAATGAGCTGTTTATATATTTTAAGTATTAACATGTTATTAGTCATATCATTTACAAATATTTTCTCCCATTTAGTAGGTTGTCATTTGCTTTGTCAATGGTTTTCTCTGCAGTGCAAAAGCTTTAAATTTTTTTTATTCTAATACATTTTAATTAGGTCTCATTTGTTTATTTTGCTTTTATTTTCTTTGCACTGGGAGAGGGATCCAAAAATATATATATACTGCTCTAATTTGTGTCAGAGTATTCTGCCTGTTTCCTTTAGGAGTTTCATGGTTTCTGGTTTTACACTTCAGTCTTTAGTCTATTTTGAGAAAAAGCTGCTACATTCTAACTCATACTGTGACCAGAAATTTCAAGTATAATTTTGAAACTTCAGAAATATTTGTGTGGTTAAAAAGAGTCCAAGTCTTAGCATAAATTTTTAGAGAAATAGATGCTACTATAATATTTTGGTTTGATAAAAGACTTAGACTGCTACTTCATCCAAAATAGACTAGAGACCTAAAGTGTAAGACCAGAAACCATGAAACTTCTAAAGGAAAACATCAGCAGAATACTCTTCGACATAAATTGCAGCAAAAAATATTTTGGTTTTTGATCTTTAGACTGCTTTGAAAATGCTGTAGTATGGTTTGACTTTTAAAAGTGAGAAAAATTCTTTATAATATTATCAATCTGTTGGTATATAAAGTATCTTTTACACATAAGAAAGAGCTATTGGACATAAAGTGTGATGAATCAGATTATATAACCTAAAATAGATTATATATGTATGTAATCAAATATAGATTCTAATTAAACTGTATCATACAATTAACGATATTTTATATTAACATATTAATCAGTATGAATAGTTATGCACATATGGAAAAGACCCTGATGCTGGGAGGGATTGGGGGCAGGAGGAGAAGGGGACGACAGGATGAGATGCCTGGATAGCATCACTGACTCAGTGGGCAAGGGTTTGGTTAGACTCTGGGAGTTGGTGATGGACAGGGAGGCCTGGTGTGCTGTGATTCATGGGGTCGCAAAGAGTCGGACACGACTGAGCGACTGAACTGAACTGAACTGAACCAAATTATAATCAAATATATAATTTGAATTAAAAGGAGGCAATGATCAAGCAGAATTGAACTAACAGTTGGAGTTTTAATGGAGCAAAATATTAGTCACAGTATCTAGAGGATTAAAAAATATATATATATATATATATATATGAATATAATGGACTTAAGTGGTGTTTGGCTTCAAGGATGTATTTTTGAAAGCCTTTGTAACTTTAAGAAAGGAGAAATTCTAACAAGTTTACTTTATTTGTGTCATTGTACTTAGTTATTTGGCTAGATTATTCCATCTTATTGTTGATTCTTTATTTTACAGATTGAATCTTATGTTTCCTACTGCGGTGGCCTTCCAGCTCCTGAATATTCAGACAATCCTTTGAGATACAAATTTAGCTGGAGTCCAGTGGGAGTTCTGATGAACATAATGCAGCCCGCTACCTACCTGCTCAATGGAAAGGTGAAGGAGGGTCATCAAAGCTTTAGAGATACAAATCCAAATAACTGCCTAAGAAAATCCAAAATCTTTTCCCCTGATTCCAAGGCCCTTTAGTGCTGGCTGTGCTGCCTCTCTGCCATTTCCTCCTCCTGCGGTGTTTCCCAGTCTGTATTTTCTGTTCTATTCAGTGCTCTCCTCACCATCCCCAGCAAAGCTCATTCTTTCCTCTTTGCCTTCTTGCAAGTTGTTTCTGCAGCTTAAACACTCGGCTTCTCTGCATGTGTATCTACTGGTCGTCTTGCAATTTATTTCAGCATGACAAATGTTTACTGAGTCCCTATTATGTGCTAGACTTGGGCCAAGGCACTAAAGGTTATCATGCTGAATGAAGCTCCTGATCTCAGAGAACTCATGACTGAAATGGGGTGGCTCTTGGGATGGAGAATTTGTGGGTGAGGGAAAGAAACTAACATTTCTTTCCCAGCTGCTGTGTGGCAGAACATAGTTTAGTATTGTTTTCATCATTTTACTATAAGGAAACTGTGGCTCAAAGAGAATGTTCACAGCCATTCAGCTGGGATTCAAATCCAGGTCTAAGCCTTTTTACCCCCTGTTTTACCAGATAGCTTCATGGCAGGAAAGGCAGACACTGGAAAAATTGGTATAATTCAATGAGAGAAGTTCCAAAGTATGCTAACATGTCACAGTGATGCAAATGAAAGAGTAATTGACTTGATTTTGATGAGGAGATTGGGGAGAGGAAAATTAGCAGGAAGAGATGTACTCAGCTTTGAGGGTTAAGAAGGTGCCAGCCTGGCAGAGACATTGCCACTCATGACTGTGCTGAGTGTCAGTTTCATCTGATTTTTACAACAACACTATATGGTTTCCTTTTCATGCTGTTCATGGGGTTCTCAAGGCAAGAATACTGAAGTGGCTTAAATACTGAATACTGAAGTTGGCTTAAAGCTCAACATTCAGAAAACTAAGATCATGGCATCTGGTCCCATCACTTCATGGCAAATAGATAGGGAAACAGTGGCTGACTTTATTTTTTGGGGTTCCAAAATCACTGCAGATGGTGACTGCAGCCATGAAATTAAAAGACNCTTTGGGACCCCATGGACTATACAGCCCATGGAATTCTCCAGGCCAGAATACTGGAGTGGGTAGCCATTCCCTTCTCCAGGGGATCTTCCCAACCCAGGGATCGAACCCAGGTCTCCTGCATTGCAAGTGGATTCTTTACCATCTGAGCCACCAGGGATTGCCAGTGTCCAGATCACATTGATCTGCTTTGATAGTTTATGCTTGTGACTGTAAGGAAAGACTCACACTGAGGAACAAATGTAACTGAACCAAGGGTTCCCGTTTATGTTTTGTGCCCCAAGAACCTCACTCATCTCATGCTCGTCCTACCTCTGCAGGGACTGATAAATTATGTGGTCAGACATCGGTCTCAAAAAGGTGATTCTGGCAGCAGTATTAAAAGTTCTCAGTGTATCTGTGGTCTAAATGTATTTCCTATAAAAAGAGGAGTAAATTGAAAGAATTTCTTAGGGTGAATGTTATTATCAGCCGCTAGGTTCTGTACCTATGATGAGTGTGGCTCCCAGCCTTGCCTACACACTGGAATTGTCAAGGCACTTTAAAAATACAGATGTCTGGGCTACATTCCACAGAGATTCTGATTTGCCTGGGCTTGGGGATCTTTAAAAACCTCCCAAATGATTCTAATGTGCAGCTGAAATTAAGGTGAGCTGATTTAATGACCAGAGGACCAGAGCTGAACTTAAAACACGACAAAGCAAGCAGGACATTTTACCTTGTTTCTGAAAAGACACATTCACATGTTTCAAGATATGAAACAGGACTCCCCTGGGTTCTGGTCCAAGTGCTGACATCCCTGGGTGTCACCAAAGACTACGAAGTTGTAAAGGTCAACTGGGCATCAGTGTCCTGATGGTGGGCACTAAGGTTCCATCTAGTTCTCCAGGTCTACAAATCATGAAGGTTTGGGTCCCAGTCTGAGATTCTACCAGGCACACATCCTTTTCTACACCACTGCCGATCTCCTGTTGTGTGTCAACAGCCCCTTCCACCTTCTGTTGTGTGGATCAGAGACTGACCCATGCTTGGTATAAACTTACGTATGAATGCAGGAAGAATTCTTGCTACAGTTGTGCAAAATGCTTGTTATCAGGAGGCCATATAAAGATTATATGACCAGATAAAGATTATAGCAAGGAGAAGGTCAGTGGACAGCAGTGTGTGCACCAGAAAGAGCAGGGAGCCTGATGCCAGGGGGCCTGGCATGGTGCTCTAGCTCTGCCATTGCTGGTTGGGCAGTATTTGAGCCATCATTTCATCTCTCTGAGCTTTGGGTTCGCTGCCTGAAGATAAGCATAATCACACCAGCCTTGCAGGGTTCTTGCAGTCGGATTCTGTGAGGTATATATAGATTAACAACAGACTGTCAGGCATGTCTTAAATTCAACAGCCCCTTCCACCTTCTGTTGTGTGGATCAGAGACTGACCCATGCTTGGTATAAACTTACGTATGAATGCAGGAAGAATTCTTGCTACAGCTGTGCAAAATGCTTGTTATCAGGAGGCCATATAAAGATTATATGACCAGATAAAGATTATAGCAAGGAGAAGGTCAGTGGACAGCAGTGTGTGCAACAGAAAGAGCAGAGAGCCTGATGCCAGGGGGCCTGGCACGGTGCTCTAGCTCTGCCATTGCTGGTTGGGCCGTATTTGAGCCATCATTTCATCTCTCTGAGCTTTGGGTTCGCTGCCTGAAGATAAGCATAATCACACCAGCCTTGCAGGGTTCTCACAGTCGGATTCTGTGAGGTATATATAGATTATACTCTGCTTAACAACAGACTGTCAGGCATGTCTTAAATCCCCAGCAAATATTAGCTGCATAAAGAAAGAAATGTTGAGAACTCAGGGAAAGCAAGAGGTTGTTTTCAGGCAGTAGAAGTTGTATTTGTTGAATTTGAAGTTTTTCCCTTTCATCCTGAACTCCTTTTGTAAGAGGAGTGCTTTTTGCATCTCCCTGACACTGTGGAGGACACCAAGAGAAAACACTATGCCTTTCTTTTCTTTGCTAAAACGATACTTTTCTCAAGGTCTCCTCTTGTGACTGCAGCTTGTCCTGACCACTCCAGCCCCTGTTCACTATTCCCTTGTCTGAACTCCCACACTTTGATTGTCTGTGTCTAAGAACTTTCTGGATGATGTATTATTCACTCAGCGATTCAAGTGCATCAGTCTATCTCCTAACCTGGATTGTTAGACTTCTTAAAGCCTCTCTTGTCCCTCCATCATCTCTGTCACCATCACCTTCTGCCTTGGAGCAGGCCTTACGTAATTCACTGAATCATCACGGCAGAGTGAAGTGACTTCTCTGGCTTCTGCTTGAAATCAAAACCTTAAACTTTTCCAGCAACTCAGGCAGCAGCCTAGGATTTAGGATGTTTCTCACTGGAAATTACTGCAAGGATGTAGGACCACGAGCTCTATTACCGGTACTATTGCTCACTTCTAACTTCCAATCCTGTTTCTAACACATCTGATTTCCTTGCACACATTTGGAGACAGTGATTGTGTCTTCTCTGAGGTGTCTTTCCTCCATGGGTGGTGGATCATTGATGGCATCTGGGGGTGATGTGGCAGAGCTTTGCCACCATCTCCTTCAGCCTCCTCTCCCAAGTCACTCACAAACAAAGCACATACTATATGAGTAAGGATTGTGTTTTTCTGCAAACACAGCTTCGAGATGGGTTTTCTGCCTTTGTTTCTATTGCCTTCCACTCCCTTGACTTCAGCACCCAACCTCCCCTTTGAAGTTTCTGCTCTCCACTACCTGCAGCCATTCTTAATGCAATTTTCAGGTGCATCACTGGTGGCATGATTGGGAATGCTGTACCTGGTTCATCAATATCCTTCTCAAAACAGTGATCCACAAAAGACCACCATTAAGGGGACAGTGTGGTATAGTAGGGGTATAGAATCCCTATAGAATCCCTCAGTGGTAAAGAATCCATCTGCCAATGCAGGAGATATGGATTTAATCCCTGGGTCTGGAGAATTCCATGGACAGAGGAGCCTGGTGGGCTATAGTCCATGAGGTCACAAAAGAGATGGACACAATTTATTGACTAAATAATAGAAACAAATGGTATAGTAGAAAGAACACGGATGTTGGATTCAAATACTTCGATTTAATTCAGTCGCTCAGTCATATCTGACCCTTTGTGACCCCATGGACTACAGCACGCCAGGCTTCGCTGTCCATCACCAACTCCTGGAGTTTACCCAAACTCATGTCCATTGAGTCGGTGATGCCATCCAACCATCTCATCCTCTATTGTCCCCTTCTCCTCCTGCCTTCAGTCTTCCCCAGCATCAGGGTCTTTCCNTGGCAACCCACTCAGTATTCTTACCTGGAGTATCCCATGGACAGAGGAGCAGGGCAGGCTACAGTCCATGGGGTCACAAGAGTCAGACATGACTGAGTGACTTTCACTTCACTTGATTTCTCTGTGATCTAATGAATATTGGTACTTTGATCTCTGGTTTCTCTGCCTCTTTGAAACCTGTTTTGTATATCTGGAAGTTCTCAGTTCACCCACTGCTGAAGCCTCGCTTGGAGATTTTGAGAATGACCTTTGGGTTTCCCTTGTGGCTCGCTGGTAAAGAACCCACCTGCAATGCGGGAGACCTGGGTTCTTTCCCTGGGTTGGGAAGATCCCCTGGAGAAGGGAAAGGCTACCCACTCCAGTATTCTGGCCTGGAAATTTCCACAGACTGTGTGGGTTCACAGAGTCACACATGACTGAGCAAGCAACTTTCACTTTTGCTTTCATGTGAAATAAACATAATTGTATGGTACTCTGAACATTCTTTGACATTACCCTTCTTTGAGATTGGAATAAAAACATGTTTTTCAGTCTTGTGGCTACTGCTAACTTTTCCAAAGTTGCTGGCTTATTGAGTGCAGCACTTTCACAACATCATCTTTTAGAATTTGAAATAGCTCAGCTGGAATTTCATCACCTCCACTAGCTTTGTTCTTAGCGATGTTTCCTAAGGCCCACTTGACTTCACATTCCAGGATGTCTGGCTCTAGGTGAGTGATCACATCTTCGTGGTTGTCTGGGTCTTGAAGATCTTTGTTGTATCATTCTTCTGTGTGTTCTTGCCACCTCTTCTTAATACCTTACACTTCTGTTAGGTTCGTACCATTTCTGTCCTTTATTGTGCCCATCTTTGCATGGAATGAAATTCAAATAGACCTGTGTTTAAATCTGCATCTGAGTGACTGTCTCAGCCTCAGTTTTTACCTCTGAAAAAAAATGGGTTATCGTGTGGATTAAAGGTTATGTATATAATGCACCTGGCACACAGCGGGCCCTGCATAAATGCTTGTCTGTGTACTGCTTGCGTTAGATGTATTGTTGGTTTAGCAGTCAAGCTTCTTGTCAGTGGTCCTCGGTGGCTGGGAGACATGTCAGTGTGGGTGACACGTGGGGGATGCTTGCAGTTAGAGCAGCCCACACCAGCAGTGAGGAATGAGCCAGTATCTCTGCTGGAAGTGGATCTTGGATGTAATTGTTGTCGAGTCAGAAAAAAAATGCATATTCTCTGCCAAATAGATAAGTATGTCTTTCTTTCTTGTCCAAGTCATACAGGACAGGGCTTCTGAATGAATCCCATGGTAGGTCACTAGAAATACAACTCTGAATTGATACCAAACTACCCAGTAATGTTGGGGTCCAGTTGCTTCCATTTCAGTCACTAAATGGATCATTACCATCCGGCTTATATTTCCCTATTTTCCTTTTAAGGATCTCATGACAGATTTAGGAACCAGCTGATTTATTTCTGACTAGTACAGTGCTGGAATATTGTGCTCTTTATTGACTTTTTCTTAAAAATCCCTAACCTTCAAACATGTAAACCAAATTTTAAAATTGCCTTAGGTTGTAGAAGATAGATAGGTGGGAAGACTCTAGAAGTTAACATTTGCCTGTTTATTAGACTTACAAAAAATTTAGAGTCCTGATGGAAGAATTTTGCTTTAAAGAAAAATGCATTTGGGAAATGTTTACTGTGAAGTTCAGAAGAGTTTCACGAGAAAATTAAACTAAAAGCACTGCTCACTTCCTTCAGATTCTCCATCTTGGAATTTTTGATGGTGCTTGATACTGTTTAAATTGAGGCTATTATTTTTTTTTTTTTTACAGCCATGCCTCATGGCATGTGGAACCTTAGTTCCCCAACCAGGAATCAAACCCTTGCCCCCTGAATTGGCAGGGCAGAGACTTAACTACAGGACCACCAGGGAAATCCCTAAAGTGAGGCCTTGACTGCAGAGACCCCACCAGGCCTGACTCTGAGGTCAGCACTGCCCATTTCCTCCTGGGACTTCAGTTCTATATACATATGTTTCTGTTTCCCTTTTCATACCAAGATACATGTCAAACCTCCCTACAAATAAACCTCATGAAGCATTAAGTTTGGCCAAAGGCTCCTTTGAGCAAATTCCCCAGACTCCATCCAAAGGTCCATCACCAGCTCCCTCAAACAGTGTTGTTTTGTGAAGCTCTCAGATGTGGTCAGAAGTTGTTTCCAGGGGTGCGAGCAGGACCGAGTCTAGTTCCACCAGGATGCTCAGCCCTGATCGTTGTATTACTTCAGAATGTTTTCCACGACCTCAGGGATGATCACCTGCCTCACAAGTTGAAAGAAGAATTTAGCCCCTTATTCAAGATGAAAGGGAAAAAAATACTTCACTGCATCTTGATTGTGTGTGATACAGGGAGAGATGTAGGAAAGAGGGTTCCTGAGACACCAGAAGAGCTTGGGATCAGTGTTGTAACTTCTCACCAGCAGGAAGATCAGGAGGTAGCATTTTTATTTATTTATTTTTTGGAGTCTCACTGTGTGTTCATTGCATTGTCCTTGTGAGAGGGTGTCTCCCCCACTCCCTTTCCCAGCATCCACAGGCTGGTTGACTGGTCTTGGCTGTGAGCATCTTATTGCTGCTCTAGTGCTGCTCCCGGGTCTTGATGGACATTAAGTAAAGGTTTGTTCAGTGAAGAAAGGAGTGCATGGAGGCAGGAGCTGAGTCTTATTCATCACTGTCCTATTCCCAGGTGCCATCCTGGCACACACATAGCAGGTGCTCTGTAAATGCCAGGTGTGGATGGATGTGAATGGTACCTGATGTAGCATTCAAGAAGGGGAATGGGAGTGAAGCGAAAGAACAGAGCAAGAATATGGTGTTTCTATGTGAACACAAGGCACCTTGAGTATCTGTTCTTATCTCGTGTTGCCTATTTAAAAAAAGAACTCTAGGGGACATAATTCAGTGTCATCTTATCCAGGGGCGAGGAGAAATCAGAAACAAGATCTTAGTAAAAAACGAAATGCTTTAAGTCAGATTTTAAAGCTTGAGAGAGCAATGGCCTTGTGAATTCAGTTATTAGTGGAACAGGTTGAACAGGAGATGTTGACCAGGATGAGTGTTAGTTCCTCAGTCGTGTCTGATTCTTTGCAACCCCATGGACTGTATAACCCTCCAGGTTCCTCTGTCCATGGGATTCTCCAGGCAAGAATACTGGAGTGGGTTGCATGCCCTCCTCCAGGGGATCTTCCCAACCCAGGGATTGAACCCAGGTCTCCTTGTTGCAGGTGGATTCCTTACCACCTGAGCCACCAGGGAAGCCATTAAAATATTTTTTCAAATCATCTATTGCTTTTTTTTTCTTTTTGTAAAAGCTGATTTTTTTTTTATATGAAGGATATAGATAAGTCCAAAGAGAGAATACACTGTTTTAACTCCACAGGTGCCTTTTCAATGTTTCCCAGGTTGTGAATGCTGCAGGAGGTATCTCCTTTCTGGATTCAGTCACTCCCATGGATTATTTCCCTGGCTTAAATTTGGAAGGTTATCCTAACAGAGACAGTACAAAGTACGCTGAGATTTATGGTATTCCATCTGCTCACACTTTATTACGAGGGACACTGAGGTACAAGGTAAGTGGCTCTATTTGAGATGAACAGGTTGCCTGTTTTGATGTAAGTAACGAAAGCATGTAATTTTTCTTCATAATCAAAATAATTAAGATGATAAACCAGGTTGGAGTCTGTTTTCTCTTTTGATTGCTTGTTTCAGGAGATAACACGGCTGGAGCCAAAATGGAGCCTTTGACTCATGAGAAGTGTGGGGGCAGGTGGAGGGCCAGCTTCAGGTGTACTCAGGTGTGGAGTCCAGTGACCTCACAGCAACTTGCTTTCTCTTCACCGCTCAGCCCTTCCTTCAAGCCTTGGTTGTGTCCCCTGTCTCACAGAGTGGCAGGAAGGTCGCAGGATCTTAGGTTCAAATCCAGTGGGAAGGAAAAACTACATCTTCACAGTCAAAAGTAGAGTTTTTATCTCGTGGGCCCCTGAGATCAGTGTGAAAAAAGGAGCCAGTCAGCTTTGGCCCCTGTTTTTCATCCCCAGAGCTGATCATGTAGTCAGTGTCACCTTCCCCAAATCAAATCTTAAATTTTTTTTTTTTTTTTTTTACCACAAAACAGAGTGTAGATATTAGGACCATAAATACTAATGTCCAGTACACATTTTTGAATCACAGAAGAATAGTTACAAGTGTGACCAGATTAAGACAATCAGTATAATGGTTTCCTAGGGCTGTTATAACAAATTACTGTGAAAGTTTTAACAACAGAAATGTATCCTCTCAACAGAGTGTGTGCAGGGTTTGTGTCTTCTGGAGGTTTTGAGGGAGAAACCGTCTCTTGCCACTCTCACCTCATTTCCAGTGATTACAGGCAGTTCTTGGTGCTCTTTAACTTGTAGACATATTGGTCCCATCTCTGCCTCCATCTTCATAACATCTTCTCTTGCTTATGTCACTGTGTCGTGTCCTCTTCTTGCCAGGACACCAGTCACTGTATTTAGGACCCACCCTAAATACTGAGATTCTTAACTAATTACATTTGCAAAGATTCACATGAAGTCTTTGAGGTCCTGAGTGGCCATGAATTATGAAGGGTACATATTCAACCCTCTACAACCAGCATACCTAAAATACATAGATCTCTAAAAATTAAGGATCTGATTTCAGATCTCACTGCCCTGTGAGATTTCCTGGTTCCTGTGCTCTCATGAATGTGATTTCCTCACTGTCTGGGAACTAAATGAATTGTCAGTGATAACATCTTAAGTAAATAGAAGAACCATGGATGTTTCATAAGCATTTAGGCACAGGACAAATTCTAGTGGGAACTGAAGTCATGCCTTCCCCAGATCTGGCAGATTCTTGATTCTGTTTTCTTCTTGTTCTAAGACAGTAAGTAGGGACTATTTTTTTCAGGGTATTCAGGAGTTAGGACTTTCTGATAACTTTAATCTCTGGCCAAATGTATAGACCCCAAAATAGAGGATTTTAGAAGATTTAAGAATTAACTAAAGCTCTCAAGAATGTGTAGGGGTGAGAACCATCCCACCAAACCTGAGAGAATGAAAGATGTCCCAGGGTTCATATCCATGAGGGCCACCACTCTGAGCAATGTCAGTAACCCTGCAAGTAGCCAGTGTTTGAGATGAGACCCTGTCACCCTAGTGTGATCGGGAGACTTTGACTTTTTCCCTGCACCTGCTTATCACATGAGTCCTTCTAGACCCAGCTTCATATCACCTTCTCATGGGATCTTAACTCCTCTCCTTGACTCCTGTAGATATTAGGACCATAAATACTAATGTCCAGTACACATTTTTGAATCACAGAAGAATAGTTACAAGTGTGACCAGATTAAGACAATCAGTATAATGGTTTTCTAGGGCTGTTATAACAAATTACTGTGAAAGTTTTAACAACAGAAATGTATCCTCTCAACAGAGTGTGTGCAGGGTTTGTGTCTTCTGGAGGTTTTGAGGGAGAAACCGTCTCTTGCCACTCTCACCTCATTTCCAGTGATTACAGGCAGTTCTTGGTGCTCTTTAACTTGTAGACATATTGGTCCCATCTCTGCCTCCATCTTCATAACATCTTCTCTTGCTTATGTCACTGTGTCGTGTCCTCTTCTTGCCAGGACACCAGTCACTGTATTTAGGACCCACCCTAAATACTGAGATTCTTAACTAATTACATTTGCAAAGATTCACATGAAGTCTTTGAGGTCCTGAGTGGCCATGAATTATGAAGGGTACATATTCAACTCTCTACAACCAGCATGCCTAAAATACATAGATCTCTAAAAATTAAGGATGTGATTTCAGATCTCACTGCCCTGTGAGATTTCCTGGTTCCTGTGCTCTCATGAATGTGATTTCCTCACTGTCTGGGAACTAAATGAATTGTCAGTGATAACATCTTAAGTAAATAGAAGAACCATGGATGTTTCATAAGCATTTAGGCACAGGACAAATTCTAGTGGGAACTGAAGTCATGCCTTCCCCAGATCTGGCAGATTCTTGATTCTGTTTTCTTCTTGTTCTAAGACAGTAAGTAGGGACTATTTTTTTCAGGGTATTCAGGAGTTAGGACTTTCTGATAACTTTAATCTCTGGCCAAATGTATAGACCCCAAAATAGAGGATTTTAGAAGATTTAAGAATTAACTAAAGCTCTCAAGAATGTGTAGGGGTGAGAACCATCCCACCAAACCTGAGAGAATGAAAGATGTCCCAGGGTTCATATCCATGAGGGCCACCACTCTGAGCAATGTCAGTAACCCTGCAAGTAGCCAGTGTTTGAGATGAGACCCTGTCACCCTAGTGTGATCGGGAGACTTTGACTTTTTCCCTGCACCTGCTTATCACATGAGTCCTTCTAGACCCAGCTTCATATCACCTTCTCATGGGATCTTAACTCCTCTCCTTGACTCCGCTCCCCCACATCTGTGTGAGTTCTCCTCCTGTGCTCCCAGAGCTATGACAGCCCACTGTAGTGGTCGTGATTTTGCTCTCTATGGACCAGGCCTTATTCATTTGTCTTATCTGACCCTTCTCCTGGACTGTAGTGTCTTCATGGGTGGGCACTGATATTTCATCTCTGTGGCCTCAGCCCTAAGCACAGCAATTTGCTACGGACTTACCGATAAATGAATATACATAATAAATTCATCTCAAGAGGTCACCATAAAGATATATTTCTGAGATTGAGAAATAGCTCAGAAATGTCTCAGTATCTGAGATTTTGGAAGAAAAGCACTCTGGTACTTATCAGATCCTAGAACCAAGCTGGAGTTACTGCTTTTTTTTCCTCCTCTTTGAACTCTATTTACATTGGGTTAGAGCAAATGAACGTGAATTCTTTAATTAGTAAACTTTGAACAGTTTGAGTAGTACAGCTTTTCAGAAATGTGAAAATCCACACATTAAATGGTGAAATATCCAATGGCGACAGAAACTATATCTTAATAATTTTATTGCTTTCTGAAATAACTTCCTGCTTTTCTCTTCCTTCCTCATATTCTATTCTCTCTCTTTCTGTTTCTCTCTAACTGCGGTGGCTATAAAGCCCCTTATTTTGACTTTCTCATTCCCCCCACTTACCATGATTTGCTCACAAGAGAACATACATTATGGTCTTCCTTCGCTTTATTATCATTCAGAATCCATGCATCCTGCCATTTGTTTTTGTTTTTTTAGCATACTGGATGGTGGATAATGGGCTGAGGGCAGGGGGATGAAGGACACACACACTTCCTATGCTTACAGTTCAGACTGAATAGACAATGAATTGCAGCTTGTGTTCAGTGCCACTGCAGAGGCATGCACCAAACACTGCAGGAACCCAGAGCCGAAGGCAGTGCCCACTCACCTCGCAGTAAGTTCAGATGCGCTGAACCGGGTCTTAGGAGCAAAGAGTTCATAGGTGAGAAGGAGGTGTTACCACATTCCAGGCACAGGCCCCGTGTGCCCCAAGGCCCACGTCTCTGGAAGAGCCCAGCGGCTTATTTAGACAATGTGAGTGGTGGAGAAGATCATTAGTGAGTTGGGCTGGAGGCGTGTACTGGCATGGGTTTCGTGCCTAGAACTTTGGCCTGTCCTACAAGAATGAAAGACCCATGAGGAATTTTTATCAGTGGTGACATTTTAGAAATTTCGAACTCCTACCTTTTCCCCTGCTCCTTATTTGCATTAGAATAATGACTCAATGAGTGGAATGTATTTTCTGCTTTGGGGGATATTCTTACATGCTCCTTCTTCCATTAAAAAGAGAGAATAACTGTTCTGTTAAATATAATTCTGCTGACTTGAATGTGTGACACAAGAGGAAATTTGCAAAAAAGCACCACTCACATGTTACCAAGAAAAAGTAAAGACCCTGTTTCACAAGTTCTCCTAAGTAAACCAGTGGAATGGTTTTTACACTACTGATTTTGGTTTGAACCAAAGGGTGGCTGCATCAATGCTAGCATACAAATGGCTATCTTCTGCCTGTTTTTGAAATGAATTATGAAGATAGATTCTTCTTTTCAAAAGAATTAAAAAACAATTTTAAAGACATTTTCATGTGTTGCTTACCAACTCTTGTTACAGGGGTATGCCAAAGCTTTGAGTGGATTTGTGAAATTGGGTCTCATAAACAGAGATGCGTTTCCTGCCCTTCAGCCTGATGCCAATCCACTCACCTGGGTGAGTGACTCTGGAATTACACGTGGTCTGCTGCTCTTCAGAAATGCCTTCTGAAATGGTCAGGTTTGAACCTGGGTTTTGACCAGCAAAGAACCCATCCTATGGTTTATGTGCAGAAGTTAAGTCCTAGTCCCAAAGCCCCCTTTCCCATCACTGTTTTGGGAGATGGAGGGGACGTGGAGGCTGACCCATGGGGCCTATTTCCTGTAGCAACTTGTACCACTTGATTGCCCTCTCAGCCCTGAGCAGAGATGGGCTTGCCCTCTGCGTTGGGCTCTGGGCTCTGTCGCTTGTCTAAGTGATGGCCTCATTGACAAGAGTTAAACTAAGGCCTCCTGCCTGGGAAGGCAGGAGAGCTCCTGGTGGTGTTCCAGAACTGATTCCCAATGCCCGAATTAGGTCTTTGATTTGACCATTTGTAACCATGAGGAATTTGCGTTTTTAAGTAGTGAGTTTATGTACGTATCTGTATTGCATTTAAATCCTAGAGTCTCAGGGTTAGAAGGGACTTTGGAGACTTGGAACTGCATGTAAAATAAAGCTTCCACTAACTGCCAAGAATTAATTTGTTACCAACTGGTCATCCAATTTAAATTAACATGCCCATATTTCAATAGAGATGCCAGAAATCTGTCCCAAGGAGATAAGAATCTGTACTGCTAATCCCATAAGTCTCCCAGTCAAGCTGTGGTATTCTTGTTAGCTGGTTGCTTTTAAATTCTCATTTTTTGTATATATGAGAGTATTTTCAATCTAAGTTTCAGCTTTTATAAATTAACTTGTTGAACAGAAGTGAGTAAATATCCATGGAATGAATCAGATATTGAGACAATTTGACTGGGAAGGTTGGTACAAGCATTCTTGGGGCTGGTCCCCTTATCTTGGCAGCTACAGTCTAGAACAGGGGCTGGCAAACTGTTTTTTTGATAAAAGACCAGACTGTAACTTTTTTAGGCTTTTATGGGTCACATGGTCTCTGTCAGACTACTCAGTTCAGACTGCTCATAAAAAAATGAGCGTGACTATGTTTCAATAAAAGTTTTTATTTACAAAACCAGGTGGTGAGCTCAATTTGGTCTGTGAACTAGTTTTTCTTTTTTTTCCTCTTTGTGGGAAGGTTTTTGATTTTTAATTGGAGGATAATTGCCTTACAGTGTTGTGTTAGTTTCTGCTGCACAACAAAGTAAATCAGCTACACGTCGTATATATATATCCTCTCCTTCTTGTCACTCCCTACCAACCCCCATTCCCCCACCTAGGTCATCACAGAGCACCTTCCTGCTAGGTATATTTTACACATAGTAGTGTATATAGTACATGGTAGTCTCCCGATTTGTCCCATCTTCTCCTTCCCTTGCAGAGCAAGCTTGTTGATTTTTAATCTAGAGCAGAGCCTGGAGAAAGTCTTGTTTAGAAAGTGGAAAAAGCTATGACCACCGTTTAACTGTTCTTGCTTTGAGATTTTATTATCTGCACAATCTCCCTCATTTCCTGAACTTATAAAAGAATCGTGGTTGCTACTAGCAACCACAGCAAAGATCCTTCCACTCTATCCTGGCCAAAACAAGAATACCAAATCCTAGACTTCTGGAGGGCGAGGGATAATGGGTGAAAGTTGATGAAGAGGATCTGCAAAGGCAGGCAAAGTGATCGTAAATATGATATTACTCTTTTGGTGTTGATTTGGTGTTATGACTCATTTTTATCGCTGAAATATCATTCTAAAATACCATGCATTTATTGATGTGGTGTGCAGACATATGTATGCACATGTGTGCACCACAATTTACTGTTTTTAATTATCTCTAATTTAAAATTTGAGGTCCAGTGTCTTCCTAGGATAATCTCTAAACTTATTTTTTTATTTGGAACTTAGAAGTTGTATCTTTGTTTTTCTAACCAGAAAGAACTCCTCTGTGATCTAGTTGGGATTTCATCCTCTTCTAAATGTGATGTGCTTAAGGAAGCTGTCTTTAAGAAACTAGGAGGAGACACAACCCAGCTGGAGGCTCTCGAATGGTAGGCACACACCAGTCAACCTAGAGAAAAATACTGAATCAATGATCACTTAGTTCTTTCTAGTCAAACAAAGGTCAAGATAGAAACAGACATTTCACATTGTCTTTGATGAATTTGCTGCTCTAAAGTTGGCCCGTTGTAGAGAGATTACCATATACTATGTTCATAAAGGGATTAAAAAGTAGGTAGAGAGAGGAATTCGATGGCAATTATAACTTGGGAAATACTTATTTTTGAGAAACATCACTACTCAGTTTTCAAGAAAGGTGGGGCATTTTTTCTCTCCTGTAGGAGATTCTCCCACTCTTCTTTAACTACTTTAAAATACTTATTCACCTGCTCGTGACACATTCTGCTGGTCCCTTCACATGGGACAAGCAACCTGTAAGTTAATCTCAGGAGAAGCTTGGCAAGAGTGTGCACTGACAGTCTGTCTGGTCTGGCTTCAGGCAGCACTTGTTGGAGGGTTTGGGGGTGATTCTAAAGGTGAAAACATTACTGTTATTATTTTACAGTAACGTGGGAGCCCTACAACTTGAGCTGTCCTCTTACGATTCTGCCCTTTCAAGATGAAATCCAATGAGTGTTCCCTTCTGCTTCCCAAGTTGAGTGTATATGTAGGACTTGGAATGAACGCAGCCATCTCTTATTCTTCGCAGGTTGGGCCTACTCGGGGATGAACAAGTCCCTCAGGCCGAGTCGCTTGTGGATGCCCTCTCCAAGCATCTGGCTGTGAAGCTTTCCTATGGTAGGCCATGGGCTAAGAGCCGAACATCCCAGAAGAAGGATCTTAAGAGCCAGTGAATTGGATTGGAGGGCAAGAGTTACACAGTGGGAATGGGCAAACATGATGTGAGGGAAAGAGCACTAGGGCTGTTTCTCCAGAGGGAAGAATAAGAAAACTACTAAGTAAGAGTGAACTTGAAAATATGGCAAAGGGAACCATTATTCGTTTTACTTTTAATTTTTGACACATTAACGAAGTGCTGAAGCAGCACCCTGGGGAAAAGAGAGGATGGCCTCTCCAGCAGTACTCTCATGTCTGTAACAGGGTTACAGTGAGACCAGTCTGGACAGAGGAATCTGGTCAGAGTTATCATTTCCTTGAATTTTTAATCTGTCCTTTGGGCTACAAAGCAGTATATCTAATTATTTAAGGATACACATAATAGGAAGGAAAACTGGAAAGCAGAAGGGGAGGAGCAGGGGGATGAAATATGGTATTGGAGTTGTAATGATAATGACATTGTCAAATGTATATTTATTAATTTTAAGGTCCTGGAGAGAAAGATATGATTGTGATGAGAGACAGCTTTGGAATCAGACATCCTTCTGGACATTTAGAAAATAAAACTATTGATCTTGTGGTTTATGGGGATGTCAATGGTTTTTCAGCCATGGCTAAAACCGTGGGGTTACCCACTGCTATGGCAGCCAAGATGTTACTTGATGGTAAGTTCTTTCATTAAAGGACCAAGTCTGTCTCCATATTATCTCCAAGTCATTCAACACCTGGATGACATCAAGACTAATCAAATAATTAGTCTTCAGTATGACACTGGCTTTCACTAAAAGTGAGCCAGTTCAGAAGATCCAAGTTCTGGCTGACTGGGAGATCACCTTGTGATGAGTAAAAAACATGGGCTTTGGAGTTAGACCTGATTTCTGTTCCAGGTAAGCCCCAAGATGGCTGAGTGATGGAATGCCAGTTACTTAGAATCTCTGCATCAGAGTTCCTTCATCTGTAAAGTGGGGAAATTGTCATCACTAATTCATAGGGTTGTATAACACTGAAGTGAAATAATACATAAACCTCCTACCACATAGAAAGTGTCCCCAGGGAATATTAATTGCCTTCTTTTCTTTCCTTTTTTTTTTTTTTTCTATTTTGCATTTTGGGAGTGGTAACAATGAAATAGCAGAGGGTAGTCACTTCCAGATCTTCAAAAATATAAGCCATGTTTTATTAATCCTCATATCTCAACATACTGTCAATGCTCAGTATGTTTTGAGCTAAAAGAATTCAAATTTCAACTTTCTTTAAGGTCATATATGCTTTCAGTAAGCGTTATCTCAGAATATAACACCTCATTTTGTCCTTGTAAAGGTGTGAAGGGAATAAAAAACATCAAAACATTCTGTGAAATAAACAGAAGATATATCTATAGTAGCATATTATTGTTGTTTAGTTGCTAAGCTGTGTCCAACTCTTTGTGACCCTATGGACTGCAGCCCACCCCCCTCACCTGTCTGTAGAATTTTCCAGGCAAGAATACTGGAATGGGTTGCTATTATCCTTCTCCAGGGGATCTTCCCGGGCCAGGGATCAAACCTGTGTCTCCTGCACTGGCAAGGCGGATTCTCTACCACTGAGCCACCAGGGAATATTAGTCTATATACAATTAAACTACCTACTAGTTATTGAGGAACTGTAGTGAAGAAGTGATGTGGGATGAGGTCATCATGACCTTTAAGGAAAGTGCCCAAATTTATTCTTTCAGCCATCCTAACAGATGCCAGTGCCCAAGTTACCAGATTGGTTTCAGATTTTTTTTTTTTTTTTTGGCCACACCGTGCAGCATGTAGGATCTAAGTTCCCAGGCTGGGAATCGAACCTATTCCCCCTGCAGTGGAAGTGTGGAGTCTTAACCACTGAACCGCCAGGGAATTCCCTCAGATTGGTTTAATTTCATTGTGTTGGTGTTAAAAAATCACATCAGCAAATCAGACCAGTTAGTTTTACAAGTTTTCTTTCTTCTTATACTTTTTTCTCTGATCTGGTAGTTAATGCAGTTAGATGTATAAATTCAGACTCAGTCCCTAAATTCAGCTGTGCTTCCCATGAACCCCTTTTCCTTACAGTGTAATTATGTAATAAATTATGTAATAATTTAATAGGAGATATTTAAGCTGCTATTAAAAAAGAATCCTTAGGCTGCCAACAATTCATTAACTTGGAGTTTACTGCTATATGGTGATTCTTGCTGTAGAAATTAACCGTTCTTACCACCTTTAAAATGGTAACTTCAAACTTATTTTCTTCTAGGTGAAATTCAAGCTAAAGGCCTGATGGGACCCTTTTCAAAGGAGATCTATGGACCAATATTGGAGCGAATTAAAGCAGAAGGCATTATGTATACTACACAGAGCACAGTCAAACTATAATTGAGATTATATTTTGTTTTTATCTTCCCAGCCAACATAGCTCTGAACTTCTGTGCAACAAACATGTTTGTTAATGTGATATTTTAAAACATAAAGCATGATATGTTTTGATATGTCAATACAATGGTGTTTTTGAAATATAAATCTCTATTTTAATATGAAAACATTTGTTACAAGAGATGCCAGTAATTATCAGAGAACTTTAAAAATTCTATCATGTATTTTTTTCACGTGTATGTAAAAGTGATAATGCTTGTACTACTTGTTAACTTATTATGCAACTTTTTTCTTACAAGAATATATTTTCCTATAATTAGCAGATGAAGTTTTATCTTTTTAGTAAGAAGAAAATTTCTTCACACAGCTTTATTTTTGTTTTGCTTTTGTTTTTCAGACTGATTCAGCTGGATGTTTGTAGATTACCTGTCTACAAGCTTTTGCAATAATGCTATTTTGTGCCTTTTTGTAAAATTATGATTTAAGAAAGTGACATTTCTGATAGTTTCCTCTTTAATGTTTAGAAAAGGAATAGGTAAGATTAAATCAAAATCTACAGGATCAGCTCATTAGGCACAGGAAAAGAATCTAACAAATCCAACATCCTTTTGTGATAAAAAACACTCAACAAACTAGGAATAGAAGGGAATTCTTTAACCTGATAAAGAGTATCCATGAAAACCCCAGAGCTAATATCATACTTAATGATGAAAGACTGATGGAGTCTCCCCTGAAATCAGGGACAAGACAGAGGTGTACACTCATGCCATTTCTATTCAGCTTGTACTGGAGGGTCTAGATGGGGCAATTAGGCAAGAAAATGAAATAAAAGACATCGAGATGAGAAAGGAAGATGTAAAACTATCTCTGTTTGTAGATGGCATAATCTTATACATAGAAAATGCCAAAGAATATCTAAGAAAACATTAGATCTAATACACGAGTTCATCAGTTGCAGGATACAAGATTAACATTCAAAAATTGTACTGGTATGCAGTATCAATTAATAAAGCAAAAATGATACTAAGAAAACAATTCTAAAAAATGTGTAGAATAGGAATAGAATGAGAGTTCAGAAATAATGCTTATTGACTTTTGAAAAAGGTGCTAAGACAATTCAGTTGAGAAAAATAGTCTTTTCATCAAATGGTGCTGAAACAACTGGATACCCACATGCAAGAGAATAAAGCTGGACTCCTTACCTCACAACACATACAAAAATTATCTCAAAATGGACCAAATACCTTAATATAAGAGCAAACACTGTAACACTTTTAGATGAAATCACAGGTGTAAATCTTCTTGACCTTGGATTAGGCAATGGTTTCTGAAATAAATGACACCAGAGCATGAGCAACAAAAGGAAGAAAATAGATAAATTGGATATCATCATGATTAAAACCTTCTGTGCTTTTAAGAATATCATCAAGAAGGCAAAAGACAACCCACATAATCAGAAACTGTTTGCAAATTATATATCAGGTAAGAGAAGAACGTGAACAGAGAACTATTGTATTCAATAAATAGTAAAAGAGCCTAATTTTAAAAAAGGGATAAAGGATCAGAATTGACTGTTCTCAAAAGAAGATATACAAAAGGCCACTAAGCACATGAAAAGATGCTTAGCACATGTTAGCTATCAGGGAAATAGAAGTCAAGGCTACAATGAGATAGCACTTCAACGTCACCTGGATAGCTATTATGAAAAAACAGTAAGTGTTGGTGAAAATGTGGAGAAGTTGGAACCCTCATAAACTGCTGGTGGAAATATAAAATGGTATGGCTGCTTGGAGAAACAGTCAGGCAGTTCCTCAAATGGTTAAACACAGAGTTATCATATTATCCCTGGTGAAGGGTGAGGCTTCCCTGGTGGCTCAGGCATTAAAGCATCTGCCTGCAATGTGGGAGACCTGGGTTCAATCCCTGGGTCGGGAAGATCCTCTGGAGAAGGAAATGGCAACCCACTCCAGTACCTTTGCCTGGAAAATCCCATGGACGGAGGAGCCTGGTATGCTATAGTCCATGGGGTCGCAAAGAATCGGACACAACTGAGCAACTTCACTGTCATCGTATTATCCAGTAATTCCACTCTTAGGTATAGAAAAAATGAAAATGCATCCACACAACTTGTAAACAGATGTTTATAGTGGCGTTATTCATAACAGCCAGAAATCAAAACAAGTCAAATACCCATCAAATAATAAACAAAATGTGGCATATCCAGACAATGGAATACTATTCAGCAATTAAAAAGAAACTGGGTACTGATACATGCCATGACGTGGATAAACTTCAAGTGAAAGAAGCCAGGCAGGAAACGCCACATATTGTGTGATTTCATTTGTATGGCATGTCCAGAATTGTCCAATCTCTATATGGAGAAAGTAGACTAGTGGTTGCCTAGGGCTGGGGGATGCTGGGGAGAAGTGGGAGTTGCTGCTAATGAATCTGGGGTTTTGGGGAGGGAGATGAAAATGTTATAGAATTGATTTTGTGGTAATGGAGGTATTACTCTGTGACTACATTAAAAACCACCAAATTGTGCACTTTGTGTGAATTGTATGGGCTGAGAATTATTTATCAAGTTGTACAAATAAAACTTTATTTTTCTCCTTGAAGGAAAAATGCTTATGTTGAGGGATATAACTTAAACCTTCTGAGGGACTGTGCTCATATTCTGGCGTATGAAACTAATTCTGCTGTCAAAATAAGCAGGTATGATACTTGGGACATATGGCAGTTGAGAAAATATCTATGCTATTTGAAAAGGATCAAAGTTGATTAAGGCCTGGTCCCACGTGTCAAAAATAATTATGTAGAGATCAATAACCTATAAGTAAGTAAAGGCGTATCTGTTGTGGCAGTTTTTTTTTTTAATCACAACATTGATTTTAACATAATCAGTTAGGAGATAATGCTTGTGTTGAATATTCATTGGAAGGACTGATGCTGAAGCTGAAGCTTCAATACTTTGGCCACCTGATGTGAAGAGCTGACTCACTGGAAAAGACCATGATGCTGGGAAAGACAGAAGACAGGAAGAGAAGGAGATAACAGAGGACAAGATGATTGGATGGCATCACCAACTCAGTGAGTTTGAGCAAGCTCCAGCAGATGGCTGAAGGACAGGGAAGCCTGGCGTGCTGCAGTCCATGGGGTCACAGAGAGTCGGACACGACTGAGCGACTGAACATCAACAATGGTTGTGTTGCACTGACTCCACTTGCAGCCTGGAAGAGCACTCAGATGACATGGGAACTAGGGAACCAGCACCTTGGCTGGGAGGGGGAACCCACCAAGACAACATAGCAACTGGTTTGGGCTTTAAGTGATAAAGGGTTAGGGTTGAAGAGGAGGATCTAGGGCTGGAAAAGGAAACGTCAGTAAGCTTGAGTAAAGGTAGATAGAAACACTGCATTGGCTCTCAATAACAAGTCATATACTAAAGCATACAGATGGAATCTAGAAAAATGGTACTGATGAAACGATCTGCAAGACAGAAATAGAGACGCAAATGTAGAGAACAGTTGTGGGGACACAGCAGGGGAAGGAGAGGATGGAACAAATTGGCGAGAGTAGTATTGACATCTATCTATGTGTGTGTGTAAAATAGATAGCTAGTGGGAAGTTGCTGTGTAGCACAGGGAGCTCAGCTCAGGGCTCTGTGATGACTTAGAGGTGGGATGGGGGAAGACTCAAGAGGGGGGCTATACACACACACACATATATATACACACATATATACAGTCATAACTATAACATATAGTTATGACTGATCCGTGTTGTTCAGCAGAAACCAACACAACACTGTAAAGCAATTATCCTCCAATTAAAGCCGTCCAGCAAGGATTTCAGCAGTAAAGGTGGTGGTGGTAGGATCTGGGTATGGATGGATAGATTACAATTACGAGCATTTAGCCCTTGAGCTACATTTGTGAATCCCTGGTCTAAATCTTTTGATAGGCTTAATGCTCACATCTTCCCGATTTTTCCACCATTGTTGGCCTCCTCCAGACAATACTGGTATTTATATTTCCAGTTTTCCTTGTCGTAGACTCATGAGACACTAGAAGTTCCTCTGAGAAGCAGTGTGATTGTTTCTACCACATACTAGCTCTTTCCTGTTCCACAGACTGAGGACAACAATAAGCCACAGCATGGTTATAAAGGTTCTGAGAGAATGTAAAAGGCTGATGTCTAGTAGATGTTCAAAAACACTAGTTTTTCCTTTTTTTTTTTGCAATACTCTTTTCAATAACAATTTGCTTGAAATTTACATTAAAGATAATGATATTTTAGCTCTGAGATATTTTTCAATCTTTTGGATACATTTGGAAGACTCCTCAAGGATCCATGCCTCTCAGGGAAGTCATAGATGTATCTGCTCCATAAGGAGAGTTGTAAAGTGGTTATAGTGAAGAAGAGACCAAAATTATCATTAGGCCAGCTCTGACTTTACAGAAGAGAAAATATGTCTCACAAAGTTAAATGACTTGCCTAAAGTGACAAGACATACTACTGAAATTTGATCAGCATTCAAACACCCAAGATACTTTATAAAATTTTGGAAGAACTCTGATTTATAAAACCTCCCTTACCATAGGTTGTTAGGGTCACCACTAGCCCAAATGAGGCCTTTTTGAGAATTAGAGAAAAGTACTCCTAGGTACTTCTGTCAAAAAAATTGTCATCAAATATGTAAATTAGAACAATACACTTTACTTATCATCCAATGGAAAAAGTAAAAATATTAATCATAACATCATAATAAACATTAATCTTAATAAATATGTATCCTAATAAACATTCAATGTCTGTGCTTTGATTAGCTCCCCAGTAGATGCAATGACAATTTGCATAGCCATGCAGGTAGCTACTCTTATCTTTTGTATAGATTAGTCTTCTTTACCATGGTTTACACTTGGCGATTATATTGGAAATATATCGACCAGACTCGAATTCTACTGGAAAGGATCCAGTGAGAAAAACTGCCTGTTCTGAAGAAATATTTGTTAGTCACTGGCAGCTATCTAATAACTTCCTATTTCCAATTTTTTTTTAGTCCTAACACTCATTCTTAATTTTACTTAATTAGCAAGAAATACAAAACACAGAGTTCAGTCCTAACTTGAAGCTTCCTAGTGGCCCAAACAGTAAAGAATCTGCCTGCTATGCAGGAGATCCAGGTTCGATCCCTGGGTCGGGAATATCCCCTGGAGAAGTGAATGGCTACCCACTGCCGTATTCTTGCCTGGAGAATTTCACGGACAGAGGAGCCGGGTGGGCCACAGTCCATGGGGTCACAAAGAGTCAGACATGGCTGAGTGACTGAATAACAAGAACCAAGTAATGTAATAGGGGTAATTGTGCTG